ACTTGTTAGTGAATAGGTCCCTGGTATGGGAACAAGGAATAACAAGATAATGAGATAATAGAAAGTAGGGATGGAGAAACAAGGTATCATGGTGAGGGGTCTGTCTTGGGGATGTCTTGAGGGCATGGGTGTGGAATGATTCATGAGTGTTATTGGCCTTGAACTCAAGATTGGTGCAAGCATAATGATAGTGAATTCCACAACACACAGGCTTTAAGGCACTAAATTGGAGGATGCTTCTGACATGATTGCATTAATGGCAAGTAAAGGAAAAGTAAGGGGTTTTTAAGAAGAAAAAAATATACATACGGGATCAAGTTTTTTTAACATGCCTGAGGTGGCTGAAGTTCTTGCCAAGATTTAAAATTCAGATTTCCTACATCTCATGAAGGTACTTTGATTGCACACTTCAACATAACTATATCTGCTATTGGCACTGCTGTTGCAGACAGAAGTTATGTAGGCTTGTATCTGCAGTTCAACAAAACTAAGGTAACTTGAAGAGGCCTTGATGCATATTGGTAGCTTAGTGGATGCGTTGGAGGATAATGGACAGCTCAACAGGAGAGTTGAAGAGGGGCTTGAATGCAAGCACAGACATAAAGTATGGGATGGTGAATCATGAGATGCTTTTGATAAACTGATACACAGTCAATCATTACTTAAAACAGTCAGACAATGAGAAATTTATTCAACATACTAAACAGAATATCAAGATATGAGTAAAAGCCAGAATTTCAGTGAAAACGAATATAGGTGAGAAGGATGGAAGCATTGGCGAAGAAGAATGAAGTACTAGTTTCTGCAAAGCCATCATTGAAATATTTCTTACTATGAAATGAATGCATCATCCCAGACTTGAATTTTGAAATCCTCTTGGAAAGATTGGTCAGAGAATGCACTAATCATATAAATATGAGTGTCAGTGAAAAAGAAAAAATGAAGCTCATTTCATACCTTTTTCTCTAGAATTCATAAGGGGAGATTCTGCTCCAGGAACTTTATTCTTTATTTTCTGAGCTTCGATGGCCAGTTTCTTTGCCTCTGTGTATTTTCCCTGCCCATAATATGTTGATGCTAGATTTAACATGGCATTGATTGTTTCTGGGTGTTCCACTCCAAGAATTCTGGTGCTTGCATCCACAACTTGGGTCCCCAGCTTCTCTGCCTCTGTGTATTTTTCTAGTCTATAATATGTTACTGCAAGGTGTCCCATGGCATTAATTGTATCTGGGTGTTCCACTCCGAAAATTCTGGTCCTTGCATCCAAAACCTGGATCTCCAGCTTCTCTGCCTCTGTGTACTTTCCTAGTTTATAATGTGTTGATGCTAGATATGACATGGCATTGATTGTACCTGGGTGGTCCATGCCAAGAATTCTGGTTCTCACATCCAGAACTTGGATCCGCAGCTTCTCTGCCTGGGTGGACTTTCCCAGCTTTTGATAAGTTGCTGCAAGATTTGCCATGCCCCTGATTGTATCTGGGTGTTCCAATCTAAGAATTCTGGTCCTTGCTTCCAGAACTTGAATCTCCAGGTTCTCTGCCTCTGTATATTCTCCCAGCCTTCCATAGGTTTCTGCTAGACTTTCCATGGCATTGATTGTGTCTGGGTGTTCCACTCCAAGAATTCTGGTCCTTGCATCCAGAACTTGGATCTCTAGCTTCTCTGCCCCTGTGTATTTTGCCAGGTTTCGATATGTTGCTGCAAGATGTGCCATGGCACTGATTGTCTCTGGGTGTTCGACTCCAAGAATTCTGTTCTTTGCATTCAGAACTTTGGTCTCCAGCTTCACAGCCTCTGTGTATTTTCCTAGGTATCGATATGTTGCTGCAAGATGTCCCATGGCATTGATTGTATCTGGGTGTTCCACTCCAAGAATTCTGTTCCTTGCATCCAGAACTTGGGTACTCAGTGTCTTTGCCTCTGTGTATTTTCTCAGCCTTCCATATGTTGCTGCTAGACTTTCCATGGCATTGATTGTGTCTGGATGTTCCACTCCAAGAATTCTGTTCCTTGTATCCAGAACTTTAATCTGCAACTTTTCAGCTTCTCTTGAATATCCTTGTTGCATCAACAATCTTCCACAGTTGGCATAAGCATCATCTAAGTAAGTGACATCATTGTTGTTACTTTCTGATCTGGAATACTCTATGTTTGCTCTTATATGGGTTACCAAGGCCCTCTGAAATCCATATGGCTGGCCTTCATTCCATCTTAGTGAACAAGACAAGGTAACATATGCCATTAAGCAACATTGTTTCTTCTTGTTTGAAAGCATTCTGTCCCTGCCCCAAGAATGGACCAGTGGATGCATTGCATACACACAATCAGATGGACCTTTTTTGATCAATGAGAATGACAGTAATATTCGAAGTCCCTCTTTAAAGACAAAGTTATCCCAAGTACCTGCTTTATTGAGAGGAAGTAGTCTCTGGTCCAAAAGAGAACTGGCAAGAGGTAACTCTGAGATAGAAATTGTCTTATCTTCTTGAAGGGCAGCATAAAAAAAGATGTCTTCAGTAATCCCCTCATGATGGAAGAAAGGGAATAATTCCAGAAGCAGTATTGCACTATTGGCTGCTTTGGCCTTATGAGAATCATCAGATTTAGCCCTTCTCTGAATTTCTTTGTATGATAACTCCCAAGTTTCATAAACAGTTTTGTTATACTTAGAAGCTCCAGTAAAATCTGAATGGGACAATAGTGTCTTTCGGTGCTCTAAATATTTTGCAAGATAGTCTCCAATAGTGGTTGCTCCAGAAGCAATGTAAGCACCAGCCTGATCAATTGCCAGAGGAAGGCAGAAGAGCTCTTTTACAATTTTAAAAGCTTCAGATTGAAACTCTATCAAAGATGACTCCAAGCAACTGGCTTTTAGAAGTAATTCAAGAGCATCATTCTCTTCCATCTCAGTTACTTCAAGAGAGTTCTCAGGTGAAGTTAGAGTTCTCATGGCAGAGTTGCAACTAGTTATGAGAATATTTCCCCCCCTTCCAGGTGGAAGGTAAGCCTCCAGGTCAGCAGGTGATAGAACATCAGCATTGTCAAACACCATTACATAGTTCTCTCTCAGCAAGCCAATCCAGTATAAAGCAGATTCAGGTGACCCATCAAGAGAAGAAGACTGAGCCTCAGGAAGGTTACAGATACCCTTCAGTGCCTGTGTGATAGTGCTGACTGAAGATGCATCAATCCAAAAAACAAGAGAAAAGCTGAAAGTAATCAAATTTGAATTCAAAGGCATTGAAGTGGTATTCAATAGATACTCACTGGTCAGACATGTCCTCAACAAACTTTAAGCAAATCTGAGTCTTTCCAATACCCCCCATTCCATGCAACAGAAAGAACTTTCTCTTCTTAGCTCCATCAGTTGTATTAGTAAAAAAATGCCTCTTGAGTTTGGCAATGACTTTTGTCCACCCTGTGAACCAATTGCTTGGGTTTGGTGTGAGGGGGATGACCCCATCGGACTTTGTCCTATTGCCGTTGTTGATGTTGTGGATGTGCATCTACCGGAGATCTGTACTATCTGCTTGGTTCACTGGGACATGATAACCATTCTACTCACAGTGTTAGCGCTATTGAATGTGCTGTTGTTAGCGACAAAGTGGTGAGCGCCCGCAAGAACGTTCGCTCCGCTCATGTTGAGATATCGAAGGTGGAGAGTTTCGGATGGGAGAGGGAAAGAAAGAAAGGCGCGCCCAGACGCCAAGAGACATCTGTTTGTATGTATTATACACAAGCACGTGCCTGGACTTAATATTCTCCTTCCCTTCGTTCCAACTTCGTTCTTCGGCCGCTTACCTTCTTCTCAACTTCTTCTGTCGCTCGAAGTTCTAGCATGTTGGTTTTGTATGGAACCACATGGTGACCAGAGAAGGAAATCCGGTAGTGTTGAAGGTGTTATCTATATCGCGATACAGCCGGACTCCGCATTTTCCCCGTGTAAGTTGAAAGTCAGCAGCGAAGATCTCTCAACAATTTCCTAGAATGAAGGTGCGCGGTGTACTCGCTAAGCATGGTACCCCCCGCTGACAATCTTTTGCGTAGCCTTCATAACAGATTTAGCTGTAACGTCAGCACCAATACTAGAAGACGGTACGCGTCCCAGCACTTCCGGCGTCGCCATCGCTCGAAGTGAGTGCCCGGGTCAGAAGGTACCGAGTTCGTCCTGGTCTATCTGTTGTTATCGCTGCAAGCCGTTTTCCGAAGACGAGGTTCTGCCGCGCGGTGGCTCACTGCTTTGCGTTCAAGTGGCAATATATTTTTGGTGTCGACTGCTCTCATTTGCTGTTCTTGTGTAGGATCGCATGGTGGGAGGTCAGCTTTGGGCGCTTTGGTTTGCTTGACGGAGAACGTCAAGTGAGTTTATATCATTTTCAATAATAGAGGTAGCTAACGATCATCTACGCAGCTATTGAATGTCAGCGTATTCTCTCGCACACCCAAATTCACCCACTCCTCTCAAACCAACAGTCAATGAAAGTCGACCTTTCCAATTCCCTTAAACTCCACCCTTCTCTGCACCGGCAATGCATCCACACCTCCCAGTTTCCCACCGCCCCCCTCAACCTCACCTTCTCCCCGACTTATGTCGATCGTTGAGAAGGCCACTCGAACCCCACGGACGCACGACTTCATATTTCGGTATCCACGACTTCATCATCTCGGTATTTGAAGTCTCGGGGGAGATTAAAGTCCCCATCGTCTACCGGCGAATATCGTGGACCAGGTTCGAAAGAATGTTCTCCGACAGGAAGAGTGAGAGAGGCAGGGGTGGAATGCATCTGGAACCCCGCTCGTGTCACCCCTTTTTCCCCTTTGTCGGCTTCCCCAAGATTCGAGGTTTCCCTCAAGCTTCTCAACGACTCCCTCAAGTCGCCTTCTTTCCGAAGCGCCTCTCCATCGTCGTTTATTAAAATTTATTTGTCTTTTTCCCAAGCTCTGAAAGATGGGGAGGACCACGTTGAATTCGCATTGGTTGACTTCGCGCTCGATCATTGAAACTGCTCCAAAGATTGCGCAAAGGAAGGGCGATTAAGAGGAGAAAGGAAAAATGGGCGTACGGTGCCAGTGGATGAGCCTAGTGCTATGGCAGGTGTCTGCTGTGGGACGGAGTTGCGATTTTGGGTGGAGGTGGAGACGTTAGCCGCGGTGCTCCGAGCCTCCGACTCGACCACTAGAAAGCCTGCTCGCGATATATTTCAAACAGTGCTGGGCGAGCGATCGAGGAGGGAAGGTTTGTGGAGATTTGTAGAGGTTGGTGTAATGGGGTGCTAGCGCTGCAACCTGAACATCGAAAGAGCCTCCAGCACCAAGGTTCGGGAGGCGACGGAGGGCAAGATTCTTTATCCAAAGCCAATGCCGCATACACAGTGATTTTGAGCCCACCACCGGCACTGACCTTGGTCTTGGCAGTACGCGACTTGAGGGCCACCACACGAACTTTGGTCGGTAGAATCGAGTTCTCGGCGACGTATTCATGCATGCAGGAGAAATTCATAAGTAACGGGGTGGAGTTTGGACATAGTCGTCTGGAGAATGCTGGTCTTGATCCTGATATTGGTTTGTTCCTCTAACTATCTATACAACTTTTTTATGACTGACTACTATCAGTCGCAGGTACGATATAAGATGCTTCCGATCTCCATGAATGAATTCCCATTGTAAGGCCCCCCGCAGTAATTTTTAGCATCGGGCCCGCTCGCTGCACAATTGTACTCCCCCATGAAAAAGTTCAACGGCTTCGATGGGATACCCGGAGGCCCATAATCCCGCTTCCCAATTGTCTGCCCAGTCTTCACATCCGCAATAGTGAACGTAAGGTACTTCCCCTGTTCCAAATACAACTGGTACTCGTAAAATTGTTGCCCAGCTGCGCCGTTGGTGGTGTCGGTGTACACCCCGCCGCCCTGGCGCTGGGGTTGCTTGCCCGGGATGTACGAGCCAGAGCCGGTGTAGAATGTGAACTCGGCTTGGTTGTTCCCGCCACCGTAGATCTCTGCGATGTCGATCTCATCGCAGTCGTGGTAGTGGCTGCCGTTGGGGTCGAGGGGACCGACGACGCAGAGCTCTTCGCGGAGGACGACGTTGGAGTTTTTACCGCTGTCTGGGGCTCCGCGCATGGTAATCCAGATGCTCCTACGTGATTATTCGCTCAAGTTCGATATGATATTTAGAGGAAGGGGAAAGAAACGGACGTGTAGGGAGCGCTACCGTCGTTGAATACAAAATCATAGCGAAGCCGACTTTCGGTGTTGGGGTCGTTGATATCGGATGTTGAACTGAACATCCTGTACCCGTTTGGACCAGCCCCGCTCACTCCGATAGAGTTGTCATAGCCAGGGTAGGTCTGGTAGTTGAGGAAGTTGTGGGAGACGTGACGACAGCCGTCGGGGTCGAGTCTTTGCAGGAAGCTCGCATTGCTTGCGAGGGCTTCCGCTTTGAAAGCGCGCATGGCGACGTCGGAGGCAGCTGCACGCGCTCTCGATTGTCTCAGGCTATGTGCATGCCTGGTGGAAGTGAGTGGCATGCTGGAGTCATAGTTGGGGATGAGCGTGAAGTCAAATACAGTTTGGGCAAATGCCCAAGCTGATAGGAGGAACTGCATCGTTAAGAGTGCTGATTATTCAACGAAAAGAGCGGACCTTTATATCCTGACCACGGCTGCGTACTATGGCCGACATCCTACCATGGGCGCCACAGCGCCAGCCCCTCGAGTCCTTAGAACCACCTTGGTGCAACCGCTTTGGACGGCCCCCGGACGAGTTGGTCTATTTTTAATTTTTTATATCTGACCATGCGAACACGTGCCTGTTATTTATTCTGGCCTTTTCCGGCAACTCGTCCTCCTTGCTTTCGTCATTCTCATTCGTCAGCGACTTATCCTCTTCATTGGATTTGCTCGACTCCTTTCTAGCCTGTTGTTTTGTATGGCGCCAACAGGGCTGACGACTAGAGAATCAAATTTGCTGGCTTTAAAGGTACCTATAAGTTATGATGGGCGCTGCTTTACAGGACTCTCTATTTCCCCCATTCAAGGTCGTTCAGCGCGCATCAGCATCATGGGTTCGACCTTCGCGATCCCTCTCGCATGTTCCCTTTGTCCGCGAATGTGCCTGCTGCTGCCAATGTGAAATTCAATGACGAGTTATCGATGGCTACGCTCTTGGGTGGTTCGGGTGATCGATCGTCACCTAATGGCCACCACCAGGGGTATACCAGCAACAGAAGAACGAGGACCCAACGTCGTATGAAAGACGGCGTACCGCACGCATGACATATTGGACGTACATATCTGCCTCCAGCGCATCGTCTACCGCATTTCCAACAGCCTTTTCACCACCAACAATGGAGCAGGGAGTCAGACAAGTGATTTACGCGACACTTATCAACACGCATTCAACTCTACCCTCCCAGCGATAAACAATACGATGCACTACGACCCTCCCAAGCTCCATCTCTCAACTTCCTCCCTCTTCCACCATCACCGTTCCATCCCGCCCACCTAACACGACACACACGCTCACTAGCATCCCGCTCCCGCTCCAGATCACGTCCTCCCTCCTCTAGCTCCGCCCCTCCCCCAAATTTGTCCACCGCAAATGGGTCAGGCAGTGTGGGGCTTGCGAGGACGACTAGAGCCAGGAGGAGTAATGCCATTTCTGGGACTTCCCTGCCGCCTTTTGGTGTTCACCATGGCCATAGACACGTACTTTCCCCATCTCAAGACATGCATCACCACCTCCCGCCTCTGCACCACGCCCACACCATGCGCACTCGCACTCGCTGCCAAAAGGGTTGGACACGCAAGCTGTCAGTTTGATGGCGCTCCCCCCTTACGACCCGCTACCATCCCTCCGCCGTCCCACATTTCTCCTCCTTCCGCAGCACACGCGGGGGAACAAGGAGGTCAACAAGCAGCGCAACAAGTACAGCAGCCCGTAGGCGACAAACATGTCCTACTGGCAAACGAGAAACGACGAAGGAGGAGGGGGAGGCATAATGCCGCTGGAAGACGACGGAGGGATAATATCGATGAGAAGATTGGTGAACTTGCTACGTTGATTTGGGAGTGTGTGTTGGATGTTGGAGGTGAGATTGTTTTTTGTTTTCGTCTTATTTTTGGCGGGGGAGGTTGTAGTTTTGGTGGTTTTGGTGTTGACCACGGGGTTGGAGGTTTCCTTGACTTTCCTCGCGTTGGATCCCCATCTATTCCCCCTCTTTGGGTTGGATTACCTTCCTCGTTCCCTCATGCCCTTCTCAGTTCTGATTTTTGAGGGCACTTCACTTAGTTCAGGACGCACACGAGCAAGAATGTCGACGTGTTCTCTACACACTACTTGATCCCCTGTCAATACCCAATGAACTTCAAACTTCTCCCACCCACAATCACGGAAAAGGTACGCACTTTTTGCTGCCGTACTTTCAAACTACCTTTCACGAACCAACTGATGATGTAGCAGCTTGCCTCGTACACTCCTTTGCCCGATTATGTCACAACAATGGTCCATTTTGGCGAAACTGGCTTCTGTGCAACTGAGTGAGTATGTCGTGGTTGAAGGTTTTGATGGCGCTGAGATCTTATTGGTCAATCGTGCTCGGAGGTTGAGCTTCGTCGAGGTCTTCGATGTTCGTTGCCGACGATAATGTCGATGGCTTGAAAGCGTGCTCGCAGGCGAAAAGGGGTTGTGGTTGTTTGAAATTCATCATGGTCAGGGACCCCTGCCAGCCTTTGCTCAATTCTCGATCTTTCAGTAAGTGCATCTTCATTTCGCTTCTATAAAGGCGGTAGCTAAATGAGTCAGCTGGCTCTCGTAGGATGAGATACGTCGATTCAAAGTTCCAGTACTTTCCACCGCAGCCCGTCTACGTCTTGAAGCAACTCTCCTTGGAAGGATCAATCCGTGCAAAACCACCTCAAACCGCATGCAACTTCCCTCACCTCTCTCCGATGCCGAACCCACCAACTCGGTCATCCACGTTTCATCGCCGTATGGCATATCAGCGACGTCTTCCCGGCTGTGAGGGAATCGTATAGGTTGGAGAGATGTGAAGGAAGGTCGATTTTTGGATAATCCGTGGATCCATCTGTGAAGAGAGGGGTGGATGAGGTTGCAAGGGAAAGAGAAGAGGGTAGGAGTGCCGATATAGATGTAGACGTTGGGACAGGGGGTCAGGCTACAGTACTTATCAGAGGAGCAATGTGCGTGAATCTGTGATAGTGGTATGTTCTTGTAAGAACTGGGAAAAGGATAACAAAGGGAATGTAACGAACCTTAGACTCTTTCGGCATAGTTGAGTGGAATGGGTTCATTTGCGAGTCTCGACATTGCACTTGATGTTGCGGCTAGTAGCGCGCATATAGGCAGGATGAAAACGACATCCTTATCTCCTGATATCGTCCACCTCGTGTATATGTATTGCCAATACCGAGGTCAGTGGTGGGCTCAAAACCACGATGTATGCGGTATTTGCTTTGAATGAAGAATGGAGCTCCACATACGCTCTCCCGAACCTTAGCAATTTGGAGCCTCTTTCGCCACAACTCCATCCCACAGCTGACACCTGCCATAGCACTAGGTCATTCAACCTACACCCGTTCGTCCCTTCTGCTCTTCACCACCCTTCTTTTGCGCAGTCTTTGAAGCAGCGCTAACGATCGAGCGCCAAGTCAACATATGCGAATTCAACGTGGTCCTCCCCATCTCTCAGAGCTTATGAAATCAACATAACCAACGACGATGGAGAGGCCTCTTTGGAAAGATGGCGACTCGTTGAGAAGCTTGGGGGAAACCTCGAATCTTGGGGAAAGGGGAAAAGGGGGGGCACGAGCGGGTTTCCAGATGCATTCGGCCCCTGCAAATCGACTCTCACACTCTTCGGCTCTCACTGTCGAAGAAGGTTGGTCCGAACCCGGACCAAGATACCCGCCCGTAACGACGGGAACCTCACCACCTTTAATCTCCCGAGACTTCAAATACCGAAATGAAGTCGTGCGTCCCTGGGTTTTGAGTGGCCTTCCTAATGATCGACATCAGTCGGGAGGAAGGTGAGAAGGGTGAAGAATTGCTTGACTTCCGAACCTGAGGGAGGGGATGGGAAACTGGGAGGCGTAGACGAGGTGCCTGTGCAGTGAAGGGTGCAATTTGAGGGAACTACAAAATCGACTTTCATTGGCCGTTGGTTTAGGAGGAGTGAGCGAATGTGGATGTGCGAGAGAATACGGTGAGAATTAATAGAGCCAGCTGCGTAAACAATCGTTAGCTACCGCCGCCATAGAAAAGAATATAAGCTCACTTGACATTCTCCGTCAAGCAAACCAGGAAATTCTTCGCCGCTTGACGGACTTAGATGGGGAAAATGCGGAGTAAGTAAAACCGTAAAGCACAGCCCATCACAATATAAATACGCACCTTCAACGCCAGCGAACTGGTCGTGAGCCCTGTAGGTGCCAACCAACATGCTAGAAAGTCGAGCCGGTCCACAGAAGCAGGTAAGTGGCCTAAGGAAATTATACATAACACACATATACAAATAGACCAACCTCGTGGCGTCTTTTGGCGTCTGGGTGCTCCCCTTTCTTCCTTTCCCTCTCTCATCCGAAACTTCTCCATCGTTGATATCTTAACATGAGCGCAGTGAACGTTTTTGAGGGCGCTCACGGTGTTCTTGTTGAGAACAGCACAATCAATATCGCTAACACTGTGAGTACTTAGAATGGTCATCATGTCCGAGTCAACTAACCTGATAGTACGGATCTCCGGCAGATGCACATCCACAACATCCACAACGGCAATAGGATGACGTCCGAAGGGGTCATCCCCCTTGCGCCAAACCCAAGCAATCAGTTCACAGGGCGGACAGAAGTCATCACCAAACTCAAGAGGCATTTTTTTACTAACACAAATGATGGAGCTAAGAAGAGAAAGTTCTTCCTGTTGCACGGAATGGGGGGTATTGGAAAGACTCAGATTTGCTTAAAGTTTGTTGAGGAGATGTCTGACCGGTGAGTATCTACTGAGTATAACTTCAACACCTTTTGATTCAAATTTGATTACCTTCAGCTTCTCTTTTGTTTTTTGGATTGATGCATCCTCAGTTAGCACCATCACACAGGCACTGAAGGGTATCTGTAACCTTCCTGAGGCTCAGCTATCTGCACTGGATGGGTCACCTGAATCTGCTCTTCGCTGGGTTGGCTTGTTGAAAGAGAACTATGCAATGGTGTTTGACAATGCTGATGTTCTATCGCCTGCTGAGCTGGAAGCTTATCTTCCACCTGGAAGGGGGGGAAATATTCTGATAACCAGTCGCAATTCTGCCATGAGGAGGCTGACTTCACCTGAGAACTCTCTTGAAATAACTGAGATGGAAGAGAATGATGCTCTTGAATTACTTCTAAAAGCTAGTTGCTTGAATTCATCTTCAATAGAGTTTCAATCTGAAGCTTCTAAGATTGTGAAAGAGCTCTTCTGTCTTCCTCTTGCAATCAATCAGGCTGGTGCTTACATTGCTTCTGGAGCAACCACTATTGGAGACTATCTTGGAAAATATTCAGAGCACCGAAAGACACTATTATTTCATTCAGATTTTACTGGAGCTTCTAAGTATAACAAAACTGTTTATGAAACTTGGGAGTTATCATACAAAGAAATTCAGAGAAGGGCTAAATCTGATGATTCTCATAAGGCCAAAGCAGCCAATAGTGCAATACTGCTTCTGGAATTATTCCCTTTCTTCCATCATGAGGGGATTACTGAAGACATCTTTTTTTATGCTGCTCTTCAAGAAAATGAAAAAATTTCTGGCTCAAAGTTACCTCTTGCCAGTTCTCTGCTGGACCGGAGACTACTTCCTCTCAATAAATTGGGTACTTGGGATAACTTTGTCTTTAAAGAGGGAGTTCAAATATTACTGTCATTCTCCTTGATCAAAAAAGGCCTGTCTGATGGTGTATATGCAATGCATCCACTGGTCCATACATGGGGCAGAGACAGAATGCTTTCAAATGAGAAGAAACAATGTTGTCTAATGGCATATGTTACTTTGTCTTGTTCACTAAGATGGAATAAAGGCCAACCATATGGAGTTCAGAGGGCCTTGGTAACCCATATAAGGGCAAATATAGAGCATTCCAGATCAGAAAGTAACAGAAATGGTTTTACTTACTTAGATGATGCTTCTGCCAAGTGTGGGAGATTGTTGATGGAACAAGGATATTTCAGAGAAGCTGAAAAGTTACAGGTTGAAGTGCTGGATACAAGGAACAGAATTCTTGGAGTGGAACACCAAGATACAATCAAGGCCATGGCAAATCTAGCAGCAACATATGAAAAGCTGGGAAAATACACAGAGGCAGAGCAGTTGCAGATCCAAGTTATCGAAGCAAGGACCAGAATTCTTGGACTCAAACACCTAGATACAATGAATGCCATTGGAAGTCTTGCAGCTACATATCGAAACATGGGAAAATATGCCAAAGCAGAGAAGCTACAGATCCAAGTTCTGGATGCAAGGAACAGAATCCTTGGAGTGAAACACCCTGATACAATTGATGCTATGGCACATCTAGCATCAACATATTATAGACTGGGAAAATACACAGAGGCAGAGAGCTGGAGATTCAAGTTTTGGATGCAAGCAACAGAGTTCTTGGAGCAGAACACCCACGTACAATGACTGCCATGGCAAATCTTGCAGCCACATATCGAGATATAGGAAAATATACAGAGGCAGAGAAGCTGCAGGTCCAAGTTCTGGATGCAAGAAACAAAATCCTTGGAATGAAACACCCAGATACAATCAGTGCTATGGGACATCTTGCAGCAACTTATCGATACCTGGAAAAATACACAGAGGCAGAGAAGCTGCAGATCCAAGTTCTGGATGCAAGAAGCAGAATTTTTGGTGTGGACCACCCAAATACAATCAATGACATAGCATATCTTGCAGCCACATATCAAGATGTAGGGAAATATATAGAGGCAGAGAAGCTGCAGATCCAAGTTCTGGATGCAAGGAACAGAATATTTGGAGTGAAACACCCAGATACAATCAATGCCATGACACATCTGGCATCAACATATTATAGACTAGGAAAATACACAGAGGCAGAGAAGCTGGAGACTCAAGTTCTGGATGCAAGCAACAGAGTTCTTGGAGTGGAACACCCACATACAATGACTGCCATGGCAAATCTTGCAGCCACATATCAAGACATAGGAAAATACCCAGAGGCAGAGAGGGCCTTGGTAACCCATATAAGAGCAAATATAGAGCATTCCAGATCAGAAAGTAACAGAAATGGTGTTACTTACTTAGATGATGCTTATGCCAAGTGTGGGAGATTGTTGATGGAACAAGGATATCTCAGAGAAGCTGAAATGTTACAGATTAAAGTTCTGGAAACAAGGAACAGAATTCTTGGGGTGGAACATCCAAACACAATCAAGGCCATGGCAAGTCTAGCAGTGACATATGAAAAGCTAGGAAAATACACAGAGGCAGAGCAGTTGCAAATCCAAGTTATGGAAGCAAGGACCAGAATTCTTGGACTCAAACACCTAGATACAATGAATGCCATGGGAAGTCTTGCAGCTACATATCGAAACATGGGAAAAGGAATAAAACACCCAGATACAATCAATGCCATGTTAAATCTAGCATCAACATATTATGGGCAGGGAAAATACGCAGAGGCAAAGAAACTGGCCATCCAAGCTCAGAAAATAAAGAATAAAGTTTCTGGAGCAGAATCTCTGCCTATGAATTCCAAGGAAAAAGGTATGAAATGAGCTTTATTTTTTTCTTTTTCACTGACACTCATATTTATATGATTAGTGCATTCTCTGACCAATCTTGCCAAGACGATTTCAAAATTCAAGTCTGGGATGATGCATTCATTTCATAGTAAGAGACATCTCAATCATGGCTTTGCAGGAACTAGTACTTAATTCTTCTTCCCCAATGCTTCCATACTTCTCACCCATATTCATTTTCACTGAAATTTGATATTCTGTTTATTATGTTGGATAAATTTCTCTTTGTTTGACTGTTTTAATTAATGATTGACTGTGTATGAGTTTATTAAAAGCATCTCAAGTTCACCATCCCATACTTTATGTCTGTGCTTGCATTCGAGCCCCTCTTCAACTCTCCTGTTAGGCTGTCCATTATCTTCCAATGCATCCACTAAGCTACCAATCTGCATTAAGGCCTCTTCAAGTTATCTTGAACTGCAGATACAAGGCTACATAATTTCTGTCTGCAACAGCAGTGCCAATAGCAGATACACTTATGTTGAAGTGTGCACTCAGCGCCCCACCTATTCTTGCAGGAATCCAGTCATTCCAGTGTAATCCTGGGAATTGTTACAGACTCTTTTCTTACATAGATACACACGCGCAGACACTTACATAATTCTTAAGACGTACCTAGACCATACTGGACAGTTCTAGGCATGCACTCCAGCCAGATTCCTTTACTGACTCATATGACTCTTACGACTCTTATAGACTAGATATGACTTGTATGACTCTACACAAGTCATACGAACTCATACTTTTGACTCATACCTTTAGTATATAAGTAGAACACTTTTGTTTGTATTCAATAGCTTGAACCTAGGCAATCTAAGCTTTAGTTCTCCCTCAGAAACCTCAGAAACTAAGATCGCCCTCGAACTCTATAGTCTTTCAACTTAGAGCCTCTTTTGAAACCTTGACGATAAGTCTTCAACATCGAAGACTTAATACACGTTTGACTTCACTTCAGTCACCCACTGACCACTGACTATTAGTCATGTAATTTCAGTATATATTACATGACTAATAGTAGTACTGTATTTATTTATTGTACTGAATATATCCAGAATCTTTACTGTATCTATTTCCTTAAAATGTCACAAAATCAGCTGTCACACTATTGAATCTATTTTTTTGCACTAAATAAATCTTTTTGGTGCCAAGACTCTGAATTAAATATATTTCATGGTTTCACTACTGAATCTATTTTTTTGCACTAAATAAATCTTTTTTTCGATGCCAATACTCTGAAACAAATATATTTCATGGTTTCACTACTGAATAAATCTTTTTGGTTAACATGTCACAAACTTGCCTGTCACACCACTGAATACATTTTGGCTCTGGATAGACTACTAGAGGTGTCTGGGGTCCTAGTTCCAAAGAAAAGTGTGTTATGATTTTTCACTAGTAGAGGTATTATTGATAAATTTCTTTTTGTTTGTAAATGCTTTCCTGGGGCTGTAGGGTCCTACTGTTTTCAGGATCCACTGCCCATTGCCAAATATGGAAGGTGTGGCTATGTTAAATGAAAAATAGCAATAAAATACAGGGAACAATGATGAGTTTAGGGTGTTGCTCACTGTTGGTGATGATGTTGGGGGCGGTTTTCAGGGTCCAGGGCACATTTCCAAATAAGGAAACATGCGCTTTTTCACATGTAAAATAGCAATAAAGTCAGGAAAAATTAGGGGTGGTGTTCACTGTTGGGGACAATGTTGCAGGTTGTTTTCAGGGTCCAGGGTGCATTTCCAAATATGGTAATATAGCTAAAAACAGCCACAAAATAACCAAAAAATCAGAAAAAAATGGGGGTGGTGCTTTCTGTTGGTGATGACATCTGGGCTTGTTTTCAGGGTCCAGGGCATATGTCCAAATAGGGTAATATATTCCAGCTAGGCTGGTGGCAGAACCCTATTAGTTCGATTTTGAGCTGGTGGCCACAATCCATCACACTGGTGACAATGTGGGAAAATATTGAGGATACACTGCATGCCCCAGGTGGCTTCCACATCTGGCCCAAATAGTGGTGTATAAGAGTCTACCATAGACTACAAACAAGTCGGACATAGACTACAAAGTTTACTGATACACTACAGAAGACTACAAAAGTCAGACATAGACTACAAAGTTTACTGATAGACTACAAAAGACTACAAAAGTCGGACTTAGACTACAAAAGACTACAAAAGTCAGACTTAGACTACAAAGTTTACTGATAGACTACAAAAGACTACAAAAGTCGGACTTAGACTACAAATTTACTGATAAACTACAAAGGACTACAAAAGTCGGACTTAGACTACAAAGTTTACTGATAGACTACAAAAGACTACAAATGTCAGACTTAGACTACAAAAGTTTGGACTTAGACTACAAAGTTAGGGTTAGGGTTAGGGTTAGGGTTAAAAGTGTATCCAGACTACAAAGTTTGTAGTGTCCACTTTCAATCATTACAAAATTTTGTAGTGTTCATTTTTTCCTTAGAAGGGTTTGTAGTGTCTGCCTTTTGGGACTACAAAAGTTTGGTGTGCACTTTTCCATTTGGAAAGTTTGTAGTTCTCACTTTTTTTGACTACAAAGTGTGTGCTTTTTCATCAGAACAAAATCGAACTAATAGGGTTCTGCTGCCAGCCTAGCTGGCACAGACCTGTCAGGTCCAGCCAATTTCCAGTTGACTGCTCTGGCTATTG